CACTCTATAGAAATAGCGAGAGATATACTTTATATATATTAGGGACGTATATTATAGTACCTTAATATATATTTATATAGGACAACAGGTCCATAAAAAATATTTATTTATAAAAAATGCAAGAAAAATTAAAAACAAACACGTAATTGTAGATTTTTAAAACATGTCTATCATATTTGCACCAAAAGTCAAGCCGTAAAAAGAAAACTAAAAATTCAAAGTCCTATGTAGCAAATAAATATTCAGCACTTTTTTGCGTTCATATTACACACTTTTAGGTACTGTCACTATTAGTATCTTAAGAAGTGAACAGAGATGTGAACTGGTAAATTACCGATAAATTACCGTGGTAATTTACCGTAATTAACCAGAAATAAATTACCGTAATTTACTCGTAATTTACAAAGTAAATCACCGATTTTTGTGGTAAAAAATTTACATTATTTACCATAATCAGATATGTGAACTGGTAAATTACCGATAAATTACCGTGGTAATTTACCGTAATTAATCAGAAATAAATTACAGTAATTTACAAAGTAAATTACCGATTTTGGTGGTAAAAAATTTACATTATTTACCGTTATTTACCATTATATACGGCATTTTCTTGTAATTTACCATATTTCGCGAAAACGAAACTTCGGTGAAAATTAGCATTGGACAACTGCTCTTCATTAAAACTTCCCTTAAGGCATCAGTTATCAAATAAATTACTAAACACTGAATATGATCGTGTAAAAAAGTTCCTGAACGAAAAAATTCATACTGCTAACACGGTAGGGATTCAAATTGATGGTTGGTCTAATATTCGCAATGAATCTATAGTTAATGTCCTCCTTACGGTAATTTCAAGATTTTGTAACTGAGGAATTGTTTGTTCTTAGTTTTTGATGGTATGTAGGTACTTTTTTAAATAAAACATAGTAATTATTTCAAGTTGAAGTTTTATTTTGTTCGGATTTTTAAAAATTTGTCTGGAATATTCATTAGGAATATCAGGAAATTGTATATTGTAATATGGTAATCCTATTCTTACCATACCTGAGCCTGTGTTATATAAAATGGTAGATACGAAAGCAGCTCGTCATGAAGCAACTTTCATGTGCAACATTATATCCGAATTAATTGATGAAATAGGCTTAGAAAAAAATGTCAATTACAACACAAAATGAAAGAAACATGGAATTTATTTGCAAACAAGTATTGCCATTTATAGATCTAAAGAAGCCCTATTTGCTAAAGATTTTGTATGGACCAGTCTAAAAAATGGAAAAATGTTAGCAGTGACTTGGTGGAAATCGATTTGTTCAACAACAAAGTTAAACAAAGTAGCTGTAGAAGTATTAAACTGCCCACTGTCAACTGCTGCCACAGAACAAAGCTTATTAACGTATGGAAATGTCAATACAAATAAAAGGAATCGACTAACAAATGTTTATATCAGACAAAATTTAAATATAGCGGAATGTTCATCCGGTTCATTAAAATTTTCTTTGGAGTGTGAATCTGAATATGAATCCGACTGGTCTGAAGTAGATAGCGAAACTGAACTAGATAAAATAGTTGATTTAGAGATCTCATTTAGTCCAGCTCATTGTGAAATGCCAACGTAACATATGCATAATATAATTAATAAAACATAATTCTTATAAAATTTAAATAAATTTTCTTATACAAAGTACGAGGAACTTAAGTTTTATTTCATTTGATGTTTTTGTTTTCTTACGCGTTTTATATTACTTAAACCTAAATTTAAATTATATTTAGTAACAAATAATTCTATGTTCGACACAGACACACACCTTAATTTCATTTCGAAGTCAATATTAGTCATGTATGTGTATAAAATATATTACGGTAAATTACCACTGTAATTTACGACAACAAATTTATTACCGTGGTAATTAATTTTGGTAATTAAAACCCGTAAATAACCACCGTAAATTACCAAAAATATAAATTACGGTAATTTTACATCACTGGAAGTGAATCATTTTTTTTCCTTTTTTTATTGAGACTGATTCAGATTCTATATATTGCAGAGCAGAGTCTATGTGAACCTAAAAATTAACACAGGTAGAGGCCTAGTTGTACCGTATACATATTCAAAAATTTAAAGGCGAACAATATGAGCCAAATTTATTAGGGACGAACTTAAGTTGGAGTGAGGTGGAAATCGTAATATAGTGCCCTTGGATTTTGGAGAGTTACACATTCAGTCAGAATGTGAAGGGAGGTTTTGTCTTCCTTCTCACAGAATCTGCACCTACTATTTTCTACTACCTCAGTGTACTAAGGTGTCCTGTGAGTTGGCAATGCCCAGCAAGGATCCCTGTTACAATACGTACCCTGTTCTTGTAAAATTAATAAAAATATAGGGTATTCTATTCATAAAATTATGTAGATGACGTCATTACTCGAAGATGATTCATTCTGTAGAATAAATTATGAGAAAATATAGTAAATTAAAATAAAAAGTTTATTTATTTTTTTAAGTCTTGGTCACATTTGAGTTTTCGTTTTTATTTATTTACTTCTATATTATTTCCTAAATATACGTACTTATCAAAGTGCCAACCTTATTATTTAAATAGTATCAACAAAAAAAAAATTATTTACCATTTAAAAAAAAAATGTTTATTGTAGCATTTTATTTTCTACGGCGCCCCGTATTATTTGTCGCGTTCTAGATCGAAAATAGTTCATTTTAATTTTTAGACTGACCCGAGTCGAGAGACAAACCCACCAAGCCTCCTAGTACGTATATATAATCAACTGCAACGTTGCCAAACCAAAAGCGCGCAGCGAATAGCTTAAGGCGCCCAGTTGACATGTAACATTAAACATCTTATACACAGCGAAATGTATATTAGCAGCGCACCAAGCGGCGAACGCCTGAACTAATATTTTATACAGGATCAAAAAACGGCTCAAATGGGCGTCCTCGAGATTTTTGTGTTAATGGGTGTTTTAGGGTGTCTACATCATCTGGAACAATTTTCAATGGGTTGTCACTGGGGATCCGTATATCGGAAGCCCAGTAACAGCGGAGTCTCAGTGAACCTGAAATTTAACATGGGGGGAGGCTCAGTAATACTTTGTAGATATATATATATATATATATATATATATATATATATATATCTAACCTAACCATAGGTGTATTCAAATTAGGTATTTTTTTCATAGAGAAATACACCTATGGTTAGGTTAGATAGATCTAAATATCTATCTAACCTAACCATAGGTGTATTCAAATTCAAATTAGGTATTTTTTTCATAGGGAAATACACCTATGGTTAGGTTAGATAGATCTAAATATCTATCTAACCTAACCATAGGTGTATTCAAATTAGGTATTTTTTTATAGGGAAATACACCTATGGTTAGGTTAGATAGATATTTAGATCTATGGTTAGGTTAGATAGATATTTAGATCTATCTAACCTAACCATAGGTGTATTGGTGTATGGTTAGGTTAGATAGATATTTATATCTATCTAACCTAACCATAGGTGTTTTCAAATTCAAATTAGGTATTTTTTTTATAGGGAAATACACCTATGGTTAGGTTAGATAGATATTTAGATCTATGGTTAGGTGTATTCGAATTCAAATTAGGTATTTGTTTCATAGGGAAATACACCTATGGTTCGGTTAGATAGATCTAAATATCTATCTAACCTAACCATAGGTGTATTCAAATTATGTATTTTTTTATAGGGAAATACACCTATGGTTAGGTTAGATAGATATTTAGATCTATCTAACCTAACCATAGGTTTATTGGTGTATGGTTAGGTTAGATAGATATTTAGATCTATCTAACCTAACCATAGGTGTATTCAAATCCAAATTAGGTATTTTTTTCATAGAGAAATACACCTATGCTTCGGTTAGATAGATCTAAATATCTATCTAACCTAACCATAGGTGTAATCTAACCTAACCATAGGAAATACACCTATGGTTAGGTTAGATAAATCTAAATATCTATCTAACCTAACCATAGGTGTATTTTAAAAAAATACCTAATAGGGAAATACACCTATGGTTAGGTTAGATAGATATTTAGATCTATCTATCTATCTATCTAATCTATCTATCTATCTAACCATAGGTGTATTTCCCTATTAGGTATTTTTTTGAAATACACCTATGGTTAGGTTAGATAGATATTTAGATCTATCTAACCTAACCATAGGTGTTGTTCAGATCTATCTAACCTAACCATAGGTGTATTTCCCTATTAGGTATTTTTTTCATAGAGAAATACACCTATGGTTAGGTTAGATAGATATTTAGATCTATCTAACCTAACCATATCTAACCAGATAATATATTCAAATTATGTATTATGTATTCAAAGTATAGTAATCATGATTTTTTTCGACCTCCAGTTTTCGACGGATTTTTACGTTTTGAGGTCCCCTGAATCCGTTTTGACTATTTTCGCGATGGTCAATAAGTTCCATGTTCTAAAATTATTTTCTTAAATCTATATAAGATCAAAAAAAAAACCAATTAATATTATGTAATTGAATAATTAAGACCCTTTTTAACAAACTTCTAAAAAAGAAGAAAAATGAGGTTCTCATTTCGTCGGAATATTTTCTCGATTCTAATTTAATATAGCAATTAATTAAAATGGAATATTCAGCATTTCGCAAATTATGAAATAATTCTTTTAATGATGTACCAATTCAGACAAAAAAATTTCTACGCCTTCGGATATAATTATTGGATATTATTTGTCCTAAATATTTTTGTATAATAAAGTATTCATATTCCTTAATTATTTTATCTAAAATAATTAAATACAGTGTGTTTCAAAAATCAATTTTGAGAAAAAATTAAATTGTGACAATTTTTTGTTTTCAATTCTGTTTTATATTTTAATTTAATAATAATTTTAGAATAATTTAAATATCAATAACATTAAATAATATAAATATTAGTTGTCAAGATTTATTCTAATAATATATTTTTTTTTTCAGTTTTCACTGCAAGACAATGGATCTGCAAAATATTTCCAAAGTGGAATCCATACTCCAAAGATGGGCGAAAAAGTGGCACAAGTAAGTCTTTTATATATATATATATATTTTGTTTTTCTGTAAATATGTAGTTTAAAAATAAATGAAGCAACGAGTTTAAATTAGTGAAAATAATTTCCAACATTTATATTTATACATACCTATACTCAAACAAATAATGATTGAGAGTGAAAGTAGGTAGAAATACGACCAAATCGGAAGCGTGCTTATTATTTTTGAGAGGGTACAATTATTTAAAATATTCATACAATTTCTTTTATTTATTTCATGAAAACTTTGCAATATCGTAATTTACCTAATCGTTGTAGTCATTAGTGGGGCTTTATGAAAACGGAGTAATAATTGTGGTAATTATAGTGGGAACCAAATAAATTAAGAATATTAATAAAAATCACAATATATATTTCAAATTAAAAATAAGAAAGATACCTAATCAGGGGTTGGTTTGGTGACAGAAACAATATTATCAATTTTACTATTTTAATAATGAATTTAACTTTATTTCACAAATTAACGTATATTTATATATTATGTCGCGGCCGAAGTCAGTAAGGAACTGTCTCTTAAGTTTCTTCTTGGGTTACACATACAGAAGTATTTCTTAAATTTTAAATTAAAATCATAAAGCCGGATATTGCATATCCAATGCAATTGATATTTTTATTTTGTTTTGTTTAGTTATTTTTAAATTTTTATATTTTTTAATCTTTTTATATTATATTTAGTTTTTAATTTACTTCGCTTTGTCTATAAAATTTTTGTAATTTTTCAATGACAATAAAGCATACCTCTATATATATATATATATATATATATATATATCTCTCTCTCTCCCGGTTTACCTGCAGTTCCTCGAAACTAGCCAGCCTTACTCAAGAAACCCTAATTGGGTTCGGCCAACATTAAAAGACATTATAAAGCTTAAATTACTATTTGATTGGTACTTAAATCATAAAAGTTTACACGCACCTATCATTTCGGAAATCCCTAAGTAAGATAATTAGTTTGGATACAACCTACAGGATTATGTTTTCTTGGCCGCCAAACATAATAATAATAATGTTTATTTCAAATTTATGTAACAATGTACAAATTGATACAATAATAATAATTAAATAAATAAATATTTGTATCCTGCTGAGACATTGTTCATGTCTGTGTACAGGAATTAAAAATACAAATTTATATAATAATTTCTAAATGGTAATAGTGAATGGTAAAAATAAAAATTATACCTAAATATATAGACTTCTTTTTGTGTACAAATTTTCTTCTAATCTTCAACCTCAGATTCGTCACTGCTGCTACCGCTATCATCAAAGTTAATTATGATTGGTTCAATATTGTGTTCAATACGGTTGTCTACGTCCCACATTTTTTGCTCTTCTTTTAAAACATGCTGAATGCATTTCTTCCAGTCTTCTGCAGAAACATTTTGAATGGCTTCTTGTAGGTAACGTTGCACGTCCACTAATTTAAATGTTCTGTTTTCTCGTGCCACATATCCTTTTACTTGCGCCCAGATTAATTTTATTGGGTTTAATTCGCAGTGGTACGGTGGTAACCTTAATACTGTAATTCCACGACTTAACGCCATTTCATCCACTGCGAATTTTTTATATTTGTCTCTGTGTAATTTTGTTAACTGAAGTAGTTCTGCCTTTAAACTATCTTTTTTATATTGGATGTTTTTATTAATTAACCATTCTTGAATTGCTCGTTTTTTCCATGATTGTTTCGGTAATGATTCTAAATACCGACTATGATATGGGGCATTGTCCATGACGACGACAGACCCAGGTTCCACAAGTTGAATGATGCCTTCAAACCATTTTTCAAACACCTCCGCATTCATCTCTTCATGATAGTCGCCTGTTTTCTTGGATTTAAATATTAATTCACCATTTGGTAAAAATCCACTGTCGCTTCCTATATGCGTAACTATCAGACGACTACCTTTTCCAGACGGCTGTTTTAACCCAGTTGACAAGCCTTCAATAAAGGCTTGTCGTGCACTTGTTATATGACCATCCTGCCATACTTTTTTGACCGTATGTCCTTGGTTAACCCACGTCTCATCCATGTAGTAAAATTTTTTTTTGATATTCCGAAATTCCTCAATTTTTCGGAGATAATTTCTTCTCCATACTATTATTTCCTGACGTTCAATGAGAATGCTTTTCCTGTCGACTTTTCCGTACGTAAATTTCATTTCGTGTAAAATTTTCCTCAAAGTTTCTTTACTCATTTGTGGGACCAATTCATGATCGCTAACTGCCTCCAGAACTTTTTGCAAAGTGGGCAGCTCATTTCTGAAAAAGAAACTGTGAATAGTTGTGCGTATACTGTTTTTGGCTTCTTCATCAACTGTGATTTTTTTTCTTCCGCTACTAGTTTTTGGCGTTTGTACTTCCCCATGAATTTTGTTTTCTCTTAGTATTTTGTAAACTGATGATTTTGGTACACCCGTATAATCAGAGCACATATCAACTAATTTATCTTTTGTAATTGTGGAAGTTAATGATGTTGGAACGCCCGGTTGGTTATTCGGAGGTACATCCGTAGAATTACAGCACATATGCACTAAGTTATCTTTTGGTCGCTGATGATCTCTTTCAAGACAGTGAAATACTCGAAGTACAATTTGTTTTTCACTTAGCGACCGAGACTTCGACCGTTTTACCTTTTTCGACGTTGAAGGCCCTTCAATGTCTTCCATTTTTTGCATAGTTTTAGAACGGTGTAGAAATATTATTATTTAATGTTTAAACACTTATTAGCACTAATATTTTCACCAATTGTTCTTACAATACGTCGATTACTTACTAACTTAACTGTAAAACTTACAATTCACACCGTATAATTCAAAACCCGATGTTACGCTCGTGGTTAGAAATACACTACTGAGAACGTCATCGACGAGATGGATTTTACGCGTAACAGACAAAGACACAAATATCGCTCCGTACACCGATGCCATTAGTTGTAACAAATACTGAACAATCCATAAAATAATTAATTTTAAATGATCAAGAAATGTATAAGTATTACTCATTACTGATTTTTGTTATAATTAATATCTTTTATTAGTACTATGATTGTATATTATCTATAATTTGCCACAACTTACAACTCTACTACTTACTCTATTTTGATTCTGCTAAAAACTAGTAAGGTAATATTGAGATATGACAACACGGTTCACTCTCAATCATTATTTGTTTGAGTTTAGAAGAAAAAATAAATATCGTAATATGATGACAAAGAGATCCTATCCTACAATATTGTGAAGCAAATTTTTAGAATCTCCGCCCCTGACTAATCCGTTTCCGTCCAGAACGATTTATTTGTTAAGCGTAATTGAAAAAAGTTAAAAAAATAAAATTGGAAAATATGACGCTGGAAACAATTGTACTTAGTTTTATCTTTTTTAAAACGTTTTAATCAATGCGGAGATAAAGATGCGACCGAAAATGTGTTTATAGGAACGCTGAACTGCGTAGTAACATTTTATGGTATAGTGTGGAATATAAAAATATTTTATAATAGTTTACTTTAAATTTTGCGCATATTTTCCTTCAATTGGTACCATGCTAACGATTACCGTACCATCTACTAGTTAATTAATTATATGAGTTAATTTCTTACGAAGTTAAGAAAAATAATATTAATATTTGCAACCAATTTTCAAAACTTTCGCATTTTTTTTTTTAAACAAAACTAATTTTAAGAGCAGACTCATAAGCGTTTAATTAAATTTGAAATCAGTACTGCATGCAGTAGATCAAAGAACTATTAGAACAATAGCGGCATAGTTGTTTTCCATCAAACCAGATATTAAAGGATGTTGCGTCAAAGGAAAAGATAATGGATCCAAATTTTTCGAAAGAATAGCAGGTAATAGGTTAATTGAAGATAAAATTCTTATTAAATAGTTTGAAAAAGTTGGTAAAGTTGAGTATTCTAGTGAATAAAATGATTGTTCATTGATAGAACTTGAAGAAGAACATTTAAAGAATTTTTAGAATACCAAAGTAAATAAAACATTGTACAAAAACAAGATTTTTATTCAATCGAATCAGAACCGTAAAATAAGAAGCAATTTTTAATAAGAAATGTCTTTCTCTATCATTTTTGTTCCTAATTTCTCCAAAAATCAATATATGAGAAAGATTGCATGAATAATCAACTAAATTCAATGCAACTTTAACTATAGTTTATTATTAGTTTGTTTTATCTGAGGTACAGACCTATATCGCAATTTTTTGTAATTAATTGGGTCCATTTTATTTTATTTCTTGAAAATACAAGAAGGAAATAATGCATCGTTGTAATAATAAACAAAAGAGATCTACGTTCGGGGTACACCAAGAAAAATCCATAATGCTAATGCCGGGAAAGAAACAATAGTTCTCAAGGTTCTTTCATGACCTGGTATAATAACGAAACACTCATTGTTCATGCAATTTTATATACTAATTAATAATTAAATATATTACTATTATTATTACAATAACGTAATCGGATTTAACAACATTTCAACATTTTGACTTCACTGATTAATGAATCCTTTGAAATTGGTCTCTTTCCTAACTGTCTAAAAACAGCTATAATAATCCCACTTCATAAAGGTGGCGACAAAACCAAAACTTGTAACTATAGACCTATCGCGTTATTGCCTACCTTATCGAAGATAGTAGAACGGCTAATGAAAAACCGTCTTTTGCCCTTTCTTTTCAAGCATAACATCCTCACAGCTCATCAGTATGGCTTTCTACCTAAAAAATGCACTAGCGACGCAATGTTTTCCGTTCTTAATGAAATATACACATCACTTAATGATAAACTTTTCACCGCTTCAGTATTTTGTGACTTCGCAAAGGCCTTCGATTGTGTAAATCATGATATTTTAATTAATAAGTTACAAATTTATGGCATACGGGGTTCTCCTTTACAATGGTTTAAAACTTACCTAGAAAATAGAAATCAACAGGTGCGGGCGAATGGTGAGGATTCTACAA